TTGCGACGTACTACATCCGCCATTTTGTCATGATCACGTGACCTAACCGTATTCATGAATTCTCCCGTGGGTCATTATGGGATAGCGTAGCATCCATAAGATGCACACATCAGAATCTCGCCGGAACTAGTAGGCCATCCGGGTACATCTCACGTACTGTTTTTCGAATTCTATGAATTCAGACATACTACTCGGCTCACATACTGTTTTTAACGTACTATATAGTATGGAAGGATGCAATTTCAGACGCAGATCATGTCGCCTTAACCAAACACACCTGATTCAGATCATCAGCTCATTAACAGGGACTGAAAGCGTTTGAAATCGCATACTTCCATACAATGTAGTACGCTAAAAACAGTATGTGAACAGAATAGTATGTCTGAATTAATAGAATTCGAAAAACAGTATGTGAGATGTACCCAGATGACCTACTACTTCTGAACTGCGCATCGAATGAACGCTACGCTGTTCCACTATGCAATGCGAGAGATTTCATGAATGGGAGTAAAGCGACGCAACTGACGTTACGTGATGACAAAAAGGTGAATGTAGTACGTGCGAGATCCATTCATACTACTCACATTCATGCCATGTAGAACATACTTTTCTAAGGGTCTAATAGTAAATTTCCATTCAAATCCAGTACCCACTGAGTAGTAGGCGATTTCGGACGCAGCCCAGTAATGGGTGTGACAGACAAAGGAGACATCCAAAACATGCACTGCTGGTGGTCCTCCAGAAACATGGTTGAGAAACACTGCCCTAAACGACAACAAATATTAAAAACAACACCCTATTCTATGGCTGAACTAAAGTACCAGACACATAAAACAACATGAAACAAGTGCTGAGTGCTATTTAAATGGTCTCTGTTAGGACTCTGATTAAGGTTTAGTTGCGTATATTGTTCAGCGTTTGGGTTAATGACAGTGCACATCCATCACCAAAGCCAACATAATAAATATAGAAGATTTCATACTAAGACAAAACTCAATGCAATACTTTAGGATGGAAAAGGGCAACCAAACTATTTCAAATACCTTTTGTGGCTGGTTTCATATAAATATCAGTCTAAACCATTTCCTTTTTTGCTTTTGTTACCCCTTATCTGACCATAAATGTGACACTGAACCACAAAACCAGTCTTATGTTGCACATGTATATTTTTGGCAAGAGCCGAAAATACTTTGTATAGGTCAAAATGATTGACTTTTTGTTTACGCCAATAATCATTACAGTATTAAGCAAAGATAAAGTTCCATGAAGACATTTTATAAATTTCCTAATTTAAATTAGGGTTGTCAGGATACTGAAAATCTTAAATTTTAAAATGTCTATTTCCCGCAAAAATTTCAACGTTGTGAAGCGCATTCTTAAACACGGCTGAATTGCCATTGTGTTCACGTGCTAAACAGAAATGACTGTGATTGGCCATAAGCGTCATCAGTTCACCAAAGCCGCGAAGATCAGCTAGTTTGTCTATAACAGGGGTGCCCAAACTTTTTCCTATTACGAACCAAAAAGCCAACTAGATTGAGGGATGTGGGCTGAATATATACCAAAGAAAATTAAATTTGCCATGGGCAATTTTCTAATTTATTCGGTAATAATTAAAAATAACTAGAAAATGTTGCTTTAAATCATATTAACTAATGCCGTATCATTTTAACATTTTATAATAAACTAATTAAAGTAAAACATAAACAATCCCATTTATAACACAAGTTCAATGCTGAATACACTCGTCAAGCTTACTTTGATTTGCTCGCAGATGCCTTGTGCAGTTTGCTGACAGTATTTACATTTTAAAACATTTACAGCATTGTTGTTTTTTTGTAACTCTGCAATAAAATAAAGAAACAAAAGCTTACATTAAATATGTAATGACGATCACTGTCAAAGGCATTTTCTCCAACCACCTCCACATCTTTCTCCCTTTTTTTCAGATGGAATGGCGGGCCATATCAAAGGTTTCCATGGGCAAACTTTGACCAGCAGGCCCTACTTTGGGCATCTCTGTTCTATAAGCTGGCATACAAGCAATCCTCTGATGAATTGCGGCTTTAAAACCCTCCAGTGTCCCTCTATTTGTGATTACACTTAGTCAACAGCAGTGAGTTTGCTGAACTGATGACCCTTACAGCCAATCACAGTCATTTCTGTTGAGCATGTGAACACAATGGCAAATCAACACTGTTTTAGAACATGCTATTGGGAAACGGACGTTTTTAAAGTTCCAGTATCGATTGCTTCCGAATTCCAGTACTGTGACAACGTTACAGTAAATATATCAAAACTCTTTTTTTAGTAATGTGCATTGTTAATAACCTAATTTTGCAACTTTAAAGACGATTCAAGAGTTCACACTTAGATATTGCTTGATAATAATAGCAGGTTTGGCATGCTATCTCGGGAGAGATACCCTGAGCTTGGAGATAATTGAGCCCAGGGCTCCCGCCTGGTCAATGAGCATGTGAGGCGGTACAAGATCAGTAAGTTCTCGAGAGCTCGCCCTGGTAAAGAAGGAAAGGAGGAGATGGGGTGGATGAGGGGATTCTTCTAAAACGAAGATGAGGGAGTAAAGCTGCGGTCACACTGCACTTTCCTCCCCCTCGACGTCCATTCATATACATGCGAATACGTCAGACCGGAAACGCAAGGTAATGCGGCAAGTTTAGCAGTTGGTTGCAATGGAGAGTTCAAGTTTGGTGAACTCTGACCTGCAAAATCGCATTATATGATTGCGTGAGACTAATCGAGGATCAAAACAGGACCTCTCTGGAAATTTAAAACATGGACCAATCTCTCGCTTTTTTAATGTCTAATCATCCTGTTTAATCCCGTCCCTTTTCGCAGCGCCGTACGACAGATTTTCGCAAGCTCAAACTAAAGTTCTGCAAGTCTGACTCTTTATAGTGAGTTTGGAATGATCTGATTGGCTTACTAACGATGACAGATGAGCTTCACTTATCTCACCATTTACAATTTTTGAACCTTCATATTTCAGATATTCATATATTTGTATATTATCCAAATATCATCTAATCCCAACAAAGTATAAATTAATGAAAAGATTACTTACTTAGCTTTGAGAAAACTGCACACTTAAGAAAGGTTTTGCGATCCAAGGTCACAATTGTGTGATACCAAATACTGTAAGTGAAATTTGACTTTTGTACATGATAATTTAGTACGCGTGGAGTATTATTACAGAAAAAGCTAAACAAAAGAATGGCTCTGTATAGCAAACATGTATTCTAACACACATCTGAAGAAAGTTACAACCTCCGGACATGAAACAGAAGTCTGTGCAAGGCTAACAAGAAAAATCTATGCATAAAAAAAGGTTTGCTTCCCACAATTCTAATATTTAATGATTCTGAGAGCTCAAAGTAAGGTGCATTTCATCTAAGACAGAATAAAACAGAAAAAAAGTGCTTGTGAAGTCTTTAAAAATGTTATATAATCAACAACGAAGAACTTCCTCAGTTTGGTTCAGAATTAACCAAAAGATTCCTCCTTAAGGTATAAGATACCTTCAAGATACAATCAGATATATATAGAGAGAGATATTAGGAGTTAATTACTAAGATACTCATTGTCCAATCTCTAATTATAATAAAAAACTGATGCAGGGAGCCGTGATTTGTGCTCCTTTTTTACTGATTGAAAATGTCATTTAGAAACAGTAGGATTTGTATTAGAAAATTTAAAAGACTCTTCTAAGATGACATGGTGTATGCAGAATGTATGCACGTTTTTCTTTCCTTCATTGCCAACTGTTTCATCATAACACTCCATTCAAAATATTTACTCTTCTAAAACGTCCTTCATCATAAGTGCTGCGCCTGGCTTTATAAACCTTTATGTACAGGAAAGACGATGTCGGAGTACTGTAATAAATAGCACGCAAAGCACGCAAACATCAGCAACCCATGCATTTGACACAGCTACAGCCTGACAAGACATTATATAAATATAGCCATCTATTAACTTTCCCGTCAGTTTCATTTTTAGAACAGCAGCTCTATGGGATTAGTCTATAACCACACACACAATAAAACCAAAAGCTACATCTGAAATGGTATGCTTTTTTTTTTTGTTAGGGATTTGTGTCGCGCAGACACAAGGCCACTTTTTGAATTGTACTTCATGGAAAACAAGCAGGTAAACATAAATTCCTTTTCTCGTCTTCTTCTATGCGAGTTAACATTTACTCCATATGCTACACCAGACTGTGCTTTCAATATTCCCTAACAAATACATTTGTGCTTTATCTTTCTCCACCAAAGATTTTCTCCTCTATTTTCATTTTCTCCCTGGAAACTGGCGACTAGATTAACTGAACTATTGTTATTTAATATACAGTTATGCACTAAAAATACCAACAAGCCCAAAAAAGAAAACATTATTTCCCAATTCGACTGATTTTCACAGGGCAACAGGCTGGAAATGTCAGCTTGGCACAAACCCACAACTAGGAAGTTCTTGAGTTAAGCTAGCGTCTTTAATTTCAAAGCTGAGGATGCTGCGACAGCTGCGTCCGACTCAAATGGAAAGGTGAAGATGGGAAAAACATGGCCCTTTTTTACTCCTTCAGCTTGGCATCAGATTTGCCCCTTCGTTTTTTTTTTATGACACAAAAGGAAGAACACACTGATAGGACACCTTTTTGCTATGGCTGAGATGACATGACTATGAGGCATTTTAGTACTTTCGAGAGCATCGGTGACGACTATGGTGTGTAACTTGTGCATCCATTACCACTCAAGTGTGTTTCTACTTCCTACAAGCTCTGACAAAGGAATTTTAGTCGAGTGCTAAGATATACTAATACAAAGATATAGTGGGAAATAAAAGGAAACCATAAAGAATAAGGATAGCAGAGAATTCATCCGGAAGCAAGAGAATATCACCCTGCGTCCAACCCACAGAGAGAACGAGACACAACAGCTGCCTTTTGTTTAAGTACGTTTACATTTTTGTTTCTCTTTTTCTTTTTTCCTCGGTAAAAAAGAACGAAAAATCGCTCGTCTCGCTGCCTCTTTGCGCATAAACCCTCTGACGATCGGTCACTAAGTCAGTCAGCTCACTGGCTCGCTCACTGGTGTCCGGGACTCCACCGTTTCCTCTCGACTCGGCCTCGGGACGGCGGAGGGAGGAACAATGTCTCTCAGCTCCTTGCTTTCCCCCGTCACGGTCATGGAAGCCATCTTGCTTGCGTTCTGGGAGTCCCTACTCGAGGAGCTGCCAGTTCTGGCCTCCTCCCTGCAGGCCACGTGCTCCGCTTTGGGCCTGGAGGTGCTCAAGTCCTGCGGCTCGTTTTCCAGCCCGCCGTGCGTGGAGTGACCCAGGGAGAGCTGGTGAGCCTGCGGAGTGTAGGTGGAGGGTGTGGAGGCCTGCAGGTGTTGGTGTTGATGGTGGTGATGATGATGGTGGTGGTGGTGTTTAAAGTGCTGCCCTCGCTGATCTCTCTTCTTGTGACTCTTCGGTGCAACTCCGCTGGCTGTCGTCCCACTGCTGCTGCTTCCCGGATCTGCCTCTTTGTGCTTCCGGCTGGGATGCTTGTGAGGCTTCTGTCCTGTTTCTGCCTCCTCCCCGGTAGGGGTCACAGTTGATGCAGTCAGTCGTTTCTCAAAGGTCTCTGTCGCTGAGGTGGTGGATGCCTCCAGCTCCTCTAAAGTCTCTCGGGTTTTGCGTTTTTTGATAGGAAGAGCCCTCTCCTGAACAGGCTTAGCGGAAGACTCCTTCAGGGCTTTTTTCTTGGCTTCGGCGGTGAGAATGGCTGCAGCGGCGTATGCAGCAGCAGACCCCGTCCCCACTGTTGACTGTGAAACAGTTGCTGGCTTGCGTCCACGTTTTTTAGGGGTGCTTGGCGGATCCTGCTCTGATTTCCTCTTACGTCCTCGGCGTGCTTTGGCAACTGGCGCTTGCCCTAAAGGAGCCCCTGGTTCAGTTTTGGGGGCCACAAAGGGCATCTTTACTAAGAGTTTTCCTGGACTCTTTTCTATGACGCGTTTCACCGCCACCCCTTCTGTAGCCTGTCGTACCTTGCCGCTACCTTTAGGCCGCCCCCTTCCACGTCCAGAGGGTTTGACCATTTTAGGCTTTTTTGGCGGTCTTTTTTCTCTGCGAGACGGGCTTCCCCTGCCCGTGACCGTGAAGTCAAAGTCATTGGGATCTGTAATGGTATCGCCAACCTTTTGGAAGTATGCCATGAGCTCCACCTTGGAACGGAAGGCTTTCCCTTCTGGGCTGAAAAATAAAAACAAATATATTACTATAAATTGATCAAAAGTTTCTCGGTAGCTCAAACAGAAGAGAGTGGGACTAATACAGGCAAGGCCATGCGTTTGATTCCCAGTAAAAAGGATGAACTGTTAAAATGTAAATGCGAAATGTATTTGGATAAAATCTGTTAAGTGCATACATCTGACATGAAATGAAAGTAATTTGAATGAACATTTGAATATGAGAAAGTCTTTATGTGCTGAAGTTGAATTTGTAATCCTACCAAATACACTACCTGACAAATCTTGTCATCGATCCCAGTCATAAGAGCAATTAATAATACCTTGACTTCTAAGAAGGTAGATTTTTCAGCTGAATGATCTGTTGAACTGCATCCCAATCATCACAAATACTGCAGAAAATCTACTGGAACATGCATGGACCCAAGATTCTCAGAGATATAAGTCAAGTTTGCTTAAGGAAAAATCCTAGTTTAGGGTTACATTAACTATGGGGGCATGCGAGAGATCTGCATAATGGATGGCAACATCAACAGCCTGAGGTATCAAGACATTTGTGCTGCCCATTACATTACAAACCACAGGAGAGAGGGAACTCTTCAGCAGGATAGAGCTCCATCTCATACTTCAGCCTTCACATCAAAGTTCCTGAAAGCAAAGAAGGTCAAGGTACTCCAGGATTGGCTAGCTCAGTCACCAGACATGAACATTATTGAACATGTCTGGGGTAAGATGAAGGAGGAGGCATTGAAGATGAATCCAAAGAATCTTGATGAACTCTGGGAGTCCTGCAGGAATGCTTTCTTTGCTATTCCAGATGACTTTATTAATAAGTGATTTGAGTCATTGCTGAGATGTGTGGATGCAGTCCTCCAAGCTCATGGGAGTCATACTCAATATTAATTCATTTCCACTGCAGCATGACTTTATATTCTATACTGGACATTATTCCTGCTAATCGACAAGACTTTTGTCTAAGCAAATTACCTTACTGTTCTAATTAAATAATTCAAAATCAAGGCATGATCATATTTTATTTTGGTCAAATAAGCGTAATCTAGAGGCCTTTGCCTTTCATATAAGCCACTTCTAAAACCAAATGATCAACTAGAAGTGAAGTTATTATTTGTTGTTCCTAAAACGTGGATAGGCGACAAGACTTCTGTCAGGTAGTGTACATCATGTGCACCTGTGGGTTAAATACAAATATTGTGTGATTATGCATGCTTTAAAATTTTTTTATGTGGAATCAAAATGTATTTATTTATTCTTTAGGTGAACAATTGCTCAGTGTGAGTTTATTTTTGTAATCTTAAATCAAAGTCTGTCTATTTGCTTCCAGGATTGGTGTGGCGCTACGTCTCTGTTGACGTCAGTTTAAAGTCTTCAGCCACAAAATTCTTAACCACACCCCTCTTAGTGTTAGTTTGCTACGAGGGAACAAAGGGCAAAAAAAAAAAACATATCCTACTCAACCTTCAGTTTCAGTTAGTATACCAACAAACTGAAATAAAAGTCTTAGCAACATCCAAATCACAAAGACTTGAAATATTGTAAGAACTGTGACGCATCAGTCAGCATGCACCCTTATTTGTTAATTGTTTGGCAGAAAAATACATTTCAGAAAGTGCTTAGCCCTACAACAAATCTAAATAGATTTACATACAGCTAAATTACAAATCTCCACAACCCCAACCAAAGTAATGTCTCTCTCTTCACATGCAAATAAGATTTATTGAACAACCACTGAGTTGTTATATCATGCTTTAAATACTGCTGGGACCTGTTATGCAAGCTTGAGTCTTGCACTGGAAGCAACCAGCAACATGCATACTAATGTTAATTTAATGTCAGATCTTTATAGATTTATTCATGTTCACAATTAGTTTTTTTTTTAATGTTTGTAAACTGTGTTATTTTATTATTATAATTAAATACATGTACAGTAAGGTCCATAAGTATTTGGACATCAACACAATTTTAACATTTTTAAACATTTTTGGCTCTATCTTACAATGCATTTGAAATGAAATGAAGATGTACTTTAACTGCAAAGTGTTTTATTTGAGGTTATTTCCATCCAAATCAGATGAACACTGTAGGAATTACAACAGTTTGCATTTTCATCATATTTCATATCCATTGTGTTGGTGTACAGAGCCAAAAATGTGCCAAAAATTGTGTCGATGTTCAAATATCTATATATAATTAGATCTACATTTAATTTATCATTAACTACAATTAACCCAGCCTCAACATCAGCAGTAAATATGATCAACACTTCACCCATATTAAATTTATTTTTTAATTCAAAACATTTGAATAAAACTGACTTTGTTTGGGTCAATTAAATGTAGTTAATATCCAATAATATGCTGTATTTTTTAAACTGACATTAAAGGGGTGGTCCACTACGAATCATATTTTAAACTTTAGTTGATGTGTGATGTAGATATCTATTACATGCTTAGGGCTCTATTTTAATGATCTAAGTGCAAAGTCTAAAGCGCAGGGCGAAAGAACACAAATCCACTTTTGAAAAGAAAGAACAAGTCCGAATCCACTTTTGCTATTTTAAGGACGGAAAAAAAATTCAGTTCTAATTTCCAGCAAATGAATAAATGAGCAATAATAATGAAGTGTGGTAAATATCCAAATACACCTGCTATGCCACATATGGTCTAAAACCAGGTGGACAAACCTAAGCTTGTTTTTAATAAAACAAATATAAATATGGATATAATAAATAATACTGCAAATAATAATAACATTATACGAAAGCAAATTGTTATGAATAAACTAAAAAAGCCTCCCCAACCCCAAAGTTAAAGAAGGCATGAAGGGGTTTTTATATTGATGTATAAATTAATAAAAATTGTAATTTTTTCATCCCTTAATATTTAATCATTTGTAAAGATATTTCCATATTGCTGTACATCTTGTGTGTATTAAGCAATGTGTAAGCAAGGCGCATATCTAACACGTTCTGCGCAGGACTTTAGACTTTGTTTTGAGCTCGTCTATGGCCCAGTCTATTTTAGTTCCTCAAAATAGCAATGTGCCATCAATGCGCCTTAACACACCTCCTTTATAGACCAGGACACCTTTGGGCGCACATATGAGCGCAAATGCATTTGCTATTTAAACAGAGTGGCGCAAAACATCCAAATGACGCTTGCGTCGAGCTGAAACTAGCAATGAACATTTGCGTCGCCCCTTGCGCCAGGTTTCTAATAGTATCTAGCGTTAATGGTATGTTGTAGCAAGGAAGTAAACAACAGGAAATGCTGTTTGGCACTGTTAACAATTTTTCTACAAATTCATATTGATCAGTAAAATCGTTGTAAGCAGCCACAATCTTCAGCAGCGCTGCAGTTTCTCTCTATGCGACCACTTTCACTGTCTTTCTATGCGGACGCTTTCCCTGCGTTCTACATTTCAAATAACAAACTCTCAAAAGATATGTAAACATTTTACATCACTAACACATGCTTATTCCGAATATATGTGAAAGACACTTGTCAGATTTTACTTCAGATAACAGGCGTGAGGTTCAGCTGTGTGCTCTTCATTTTCTTTCTGATTCAGGCAAACTGATAAGGCTGTTTACACAGCGCAAAAGCGCAAGCCTGTAGGGGCGTGACGTGGTGATGTAGAGCCAATCTGCGAAACACAGCACATTATGTTAGCTGACCAATCAGAGCCTTTTGAGGGCGGGTCTTTCAGAGGAACTAGGAAATATGATGATCGTTTTCATGTTAGCTGAGTAGCTGTATAAAATCAAAGTAAGATATATGAAAAAACAACGTGATTTTTTACAAGTGAAGCATCAACACATTGCTTTGCATCTTATAAACACAACAAAGCCTTAAAAATACACCACCCCTTTAATATATTTATATATATTTTTTTATATAATATATTTTTACTATAATAAATGTGGCTATTTCACATTATTGATAAAATTAATGCATTAACTAATGTTTGCTAGTAAGATTCTCTTTGTAAAGCGTTACCTATTGTACTTCGTACACTCTGAATATTTAATATATACAATAAAGCAATACACAAACATTTTTATTAAACCTGCATATAAAGTTACCTTTTCTGCAGCTTAGGTCAGTTTTAACATGATGACCTTCCTTTAAAATTAATATACACTTCAAACTTTAATAATGACTGATGTGTTGTTTGTGCATGATTTGGGTGCAATACTATGAAAATGACACCATCACAGCTGCTCTCAAAAAACGAACTTCCTGTAACTTGTACTAACTTGATAAGGTAGACGTCAAATTTGCCAGCGGAGCGCCCTGATTTGCGCTGTTTCAGCTTGCGTGTCCAGCCCTGAGGCAGCGAAGGATCTTCATACATTGGGCCTCTGTCCCGAATGACAGACCGCCGCTGCTTGGCCGATGCGGAAGATTCTGGAGCGCTGAGAGCAGCTCCAACTTCAGGGTCAATGGGTTCAGACTTCCCTGCCTCTGCCTGCTGTCCGACATCCCTCTGCGTAAAGAGAGACGGGGGCGGAGGAACAGAGACTGTGGTCTCCAGTTTTTCCACATCATGCCTTTCCTTTTTGCTTTTCTTATGCTTCTGCGTCTTGTCTTTTGAGCCCTCCTGGTCTTCATTCTTGTCCTCACCTCTGCTGACAACAAAATAAATAAGTGTCACACTGAGGCAGTTTGACAGGTCTGTATTATAGTCAGCTGTATCTCTAAATGTGTTTTTTTTTTAAAGCAACACTGGCCTTTTTTGTGAAATAAGCTCATTTTCAACTTCCCTAGTTGAGTTAAACAGTTGAGTTTTTTATGATTTTTGTATCCATTCAGATGATCTCTGCGTCTGATGGGAGCACTTTTAGCTTAGCTTAGCACAAAACATTAAATCGGATTAGACCATTAGCATTTCGCTAAAAATAAAACTCAAAAAAAGAGTTTTGATAATTTTCATTCTACAGTGTTTCCTCTAGAATTATTTCCAGCTGTGGTGGCAGGCCTTTTTTTACACAGATCTAACCAACTACCTGTGGCGTTATTTTAATGACAAATGTCGTGAGCGCAGTGTTACAAAACGAGATCGCATTTATGTAATAGCCTACGAGCGTGTGAATCACTTTGCTTGCACGCCGATTTCCTCTGCTCATGCACAAACCTTCTTGCACGCCGCCTCAAATATACGCTGCTCAAGTTCAGATCTTCTTGTGCGCTCCCAAATAAACGCTGCTGCAGTGCGATTTAGTGTGTTTATGTAACGAGTATGTCTCCAACACTTATTAGATTTGCTAGGTGTTTTTATGAATGTCTCCAATAGACCTACAGAGTAGCATTAATGCGTCCTGAAATAAAGTGAAACGGCTATACGTCGTGTTTGCTGGCCTTTACGCATCTGTCAGTCAGCAAGTAACCTTAAAGGGTTAAACAAATAACGCACAGCACAAATACAGTTAAAGAAAAGTTTGCGCTGTTTTAATTTTCTTACCTTTTGATACGATTTGGTGCGATTATCACCCGCTATTAAAAAACAACAGGACTGATTGTTTTGAATTAAAAGCTGTAATGTAGCCGTGGCGGGATCAATTTTGGCGTGGCGGAAGTATGAATGTAGCGGAAACTATGTACTGTTATTATGGCATAATAATCAAGGAACTTTATTGTGGTACCATGGCTGCAGCAGGCTCAATGATATTATAGCATTGACACATGGTGATGACAAGATGTAACTACAAATGAGTCTAGCTTTAAATAGGAAAATTATCAACTCTTTTTTGAGCAAGATGTTAATGGTCTAATCCAATTCAATGATTTGTGCTATGCTATGCAAAGCTAACAGTGCTCCCGCCAGAACTTAAAATTGGCTGAATAGATTCAGAAATGGTCAAACTCAACTGTTTAACTCTAGGTGGTTTATCATTTGGTAATATTCCCTAAAAAGTGGAGTGTTCTTTTAAGATTACATTAGAATGCTGTGTTATAAATTGCCATAATATTTTCTGATTGAGAGCTTGACTCTTCTGTAGTTACCTTGAGTATGACGACCAACAGAAAATCAAAAGTTGCAATTTTCTAAGCTGATATGGATAGAAACTATACTCTCATTATGGCGTAATAATCAATGAATTTTGTTGCTGTACCATGGCTGCAGCAGGCACAATGATATGATGGAAATGATGGAAAATGGTTAAACTCAACTGTTTAACTCCAGGTAAATTATGAAATATAAAAATTTCCCAAAAAGTGGAGTGTTTCTTTACAAATACATACAAATTCTGTGTAAACATGTTTGCCATAATGTTTTCTGATTGTTAGCATGATTCTTCTGTAGTTACACTGTGAACGAAGACCAACAGAAAATGAAAAGTTGCTATTTTCTAGGCTTTCTGGTGTAATAATCAAGTAATTTTGCTGCTGTACCATGGCTGCAGCAGGCGCAATGATATTATATTGTTGATATATGGTATGATATTTGTATCATTTTCTGTCAGTCTTAATACGAGATGCAACTACAAAAGATTCAATCTCTAAATAAAAAAAAAATACCAAAACTCATTTTGAGCAAGATGCTAATGGTCTAATCCAATTCAATGATTTAAGCTAAGCTAAAAGTGCTCCCGCCAGACCTGAAAATTTGCCTGAATGGATTTAAAAATGATTAAACTTACATTGTGAAATAAAAAGTTGCTATTTTCTAAGCTGATATGGATGGGAAATATTCTCTTTTTCCGGTGAAATAATCAAAAAGATTTGCTGTGGCACCATGACTGCAGCAGGTCCAATGATATTTTATTGATATATGGTGATGATATTTTTATTATTCCCGGTCAGTCTTAATACAAGATGTAACTACAAAAGATTCAAGCTCTAAATAACAAAAAAATATCAAAACTCTTTTTGAGCAAGTTGCTAATGGTCCAATCCAATTCAATGATTTATGCTAAGCTAAGCTAAAAGTGCTCCTGCCAGACCTGAACATTGGCTGAATGGATTCAGAAATTGTTAAACTCTAGGTGATTTATAAAAATATATTTCATATTTTCCAAAAAGTGGAGCGTTCCTTTAATACTACAGTAAAATGCTGTGCTAACATGTTTGCCATAATGTTTTCTGATTGACTCCTCTGTAATTACATTGAGTATGAAGACCAACAGAAAATTAAAAGTTGCTATTTTCTAAGCCAATATGGATAGGAACTATACTCTCTCTCGCACATAATAATCAAGGAACTTTGCTGCTGTACCATGGCTGCAGAAGGCACAATGACATATTACTATTTTTATTATTCTCTTTTATTATTATCTTAATACATGATGTCACAACACAAGATTCAAGCTTCAAATAAATAAATTATCAAAACTTTTTTTGAGCAAGTGGTAATGCTTCCCTTAAGTGCTAATGGTCTAATCCAATTTAATGATTCATGCTAAGCTAAGCTAAAAGTGCTCCCAACAGACCTAGAAATCAGCTGAATGGATTCATAACTGGTTAAAATCAACTGTTTAGGTGACATATAAAATATAATATTTCAGAAAAAGTCGAATGTTCCTTTAAGATGACATAAAATGCTGTGTTAACACGTTTGCCATAATAAACTCAATATTTTGGCTTCAAAGCAAGCTCATTTACAGATCACACCAGCTCTATGAAATACTTCCAGCGAACAGGCAAGATGTGTGAATTTTAAGTACTAGCAGAAAAAAACTCAACCAAATGCAACTGATGCAATTAACATCCTAACACCTTTGAACGTCATGTGAAACTGAGGTCAAGAATGTGTCAACCACGTAACATCACGAGAAGCATGTTTTCCGCTAGTTTATTAGTGTGCATACAGAGATGCACGGAAATCACCCTGGATAAAACGAGAGGCCCATGTCTAGTAAAACCTTGACGCTGAGGTGAATCACTTCGTTTTCAAAGAACGGAGGAATTTCCCCTAGGTCTGTGGCTTGTCCTTCAAGGAGACGATAAGCTCTTTGTCGTATTTATGAAAGAGGTCACTAATAAACCGATTTGTCTGGAGCTTACTCTAAATTCAAGTTTTTTTGTTTACGTTATGAACAATTAAATGTTATAAACATATAATGAAAGGTTACCACAATACATATATATAAGTTTTCCTTTATTCTCCTTAGCTTCAGTAAACTAAACTTTCACAATAACAGCCAGCCTTAATAAAAGGACATTTATTAACATTTAAAATTACTCTGACAGGCTGGAGATTGAATCCTCGTACAGATCCCACATGTTCTAAGCTGCAATGCTGTGTCACTTTTAATTATAATATATTGTAGAAATTCAGCTGAACACATCATCAAATAGCATGTAGATCAGGCGTCATCAACCTTTTGGTAACTGAGAGCTACTTCTTGGGTATCGTTTAATGTAAAGGGCTACCAGTTTGATACACAGTTCCTAATAACAAATTTGCTCAATTTACTTTTAATTAAATGTTATTATTAATAATTAATGATATTCATCTATGTGAAGACACTGATCATGTTAATGATTTCTCACAATAGTTGTCAACATTGATTGGAAACAGATAAATATCAATATGCAACACTTCATTTGTCTGAAATTGTTTTTAAAGTTTTTTTAATATATAACTTAATGTCATTTTCAATTTTACACCAATGCAAGTGTGATTTAAAAAGAATAGCTACAAAAAATATTAGATGCAGCTTACTGGTGTGTGGTGCTATGGTAAGCTAATTTTATAACAGGCCCACGGGCAACTCATGTGATCCTCGCGGGCTACCTGGTGACCCCTGATGTAGATAAACGTGAGTGAAATCACTGTTATCTTATAACCTGATGAACACAAGTCTGCAAAAAAAAAAGTAACTGGTGTTTGAATGAATTAACTAGTCAAACTTTAAAGAAACAGTTCCCCCTAAAATAAAAATGTACTCGTTATTTACTTATCTTAAATTGTCCAAACCTTTATGCATTTCTTTCTTTTGTTAAACCAGGGTTTCCGCAGGTTTAATTTAAGACTTTTTAAGACCATCAAGAATGACATTTTAGACTCATACAGGGTTAAACGCTAAAGATTTTCTTAATGGCCCAGCAGAAAGAAAAAAAAATTGACTTGCCCCATCATTAAACAAATTCTAAATACAGTTTCTTTGGTCACATATTTTAAATAATGTGTCAAATCAAGTAGGGCTGCAACAACTAATTGATTAAAACGATAAAAATCTATTACTAAAAGCACTGGCAACGAATTTCATAATCGATTCACTGTCTCGCGCGACACTGGGACAATTGTTTATTAAAAAACACTTTAGTTCAGCGCAGAGTGAACACGGTCTCTCTCGCGTACTGATACAGAGTTCGGCGCCTCATTGACAGACATGAGGAGAAAGGGAGTTCAACAGCAGGGTCCTACTTTTGTTCCACTTTGAAGTGAGGACCATAAAGTCCCTGGTGCTCATGTTTAACTTGTTATCCAGCTTGACAAGCATGACAAGTTAGCGTTATGAGCAGCAACTGAGAAAATCAAACTGAGCTTTGGCGCGGTGTCTGGCACTGGGTATAATACAATTTGCCGATGTGTTTTAGTCATATCAGATACACATTACACATAGTGAATGTAACTATAAAGTTAGTAATTTACCAGCCACTCACTTGGATGTATTTGAGGAGT